TATAACTTTTAGTTTTCTCATTTTTAATTCAAATTTAAAAATAATAATTTTTTAATAAATATATTATATAATATATTGAATTAAAAAGCATATTAATCATTATCTTTTGATCAATTTTTATTGAGTTCTCCTTTTTACAATTTAACTGTAAAAATAAATCCTTAAACAAGGACCATCTCACACTCAAAATGTATCTCCATGTTTAAGGGTCAATATTAATTATTACATAATCCCTTTTTTTTTCAATATATTTACAGAAACTTTAAGGTTTAAGGTGAAAAAAGGTTTAACTTATCTCTTTCGAATAGTCAACGCCATCTTGATAGATGGCCTCTTCTTTGCCATTGCCAACCATACTGTCACGGTGGTCGGATCTGACGCTAGTTATCTAAAACCATTCAATACAACCTTCATCTGCGTAACCCCAGGCCAGACCGTTGATGTCCTTCTAGAAGCCAACCAAAGTCCCAATCACTATTACATGGCCGCCAGCGTGTACACCACTCTTCTCCCAGGTTCTTACGACAACTCCACCCCCACAGCTATTATAGAATATAATGGAAACTACACTCCATCCTCGCCGCCGGTGTTCCCCTATCTTCCTGAATATGATGACGCAGAAGCATCCGTTAATTTTACCGCTGGTTTTCGGAGCTTAGCTGATAAGGAGCATCCAATTGATGTGCCAATGGAAATAACCACACATTTGTTCTATACTCTTTCAGTCAACAGTCCATGCAAAAACAACTCTTGCCCAGGTATTCTTTTTGAAGTGTACTTATTTTTCATTAATTAAATACAAAAAAATTAATTACAAGACAAATATTATTAGAGTACCTTTCGTACTTTATTAATAAAATTTTTCTTTGTCAACCAAACTTATTACATGATAAATATTCTTTTAAATCTATTCTTACTCAGCATATAATTTTGAATTTTTCATATATAACTTTCCATTTGAATTAGCAGAATATATTATTGGTGAAAATTTGTCCAATATCAATATTAGCTAGGTTAAATTAATACCATAAATACCATTAATACTCTCTCTCTCTCTATATATATACACACACCCACATATACAAGTGCATACTTATTTGGTTTGAGAGGAAAGAAGAGAAGGGGAGGGAAAGAAATTTCTCTATTAATTGATTCACAAAAAATTGGAGGGCAAGAGAGCAGTTTTCCTGTATTTTGCTTTAATTCTTTTTGTAATTTAGTCTAACCAAGCAAGAGAAAGAGAAGAGAGGGGAGGAAAATGGAAGGAAAATGATACCCTTCCATTTCTCTTCTCTCCCCTCCCCCAATTTTTGTCAAACCAAATACGGAGTAACTATTAAAAGGTTAAAAACTATTAAAAGGTTAAGGAGCCAATTACTTAATTTTAAAGATTAAGGATGAAAGTGTGAGCCCTCAAAATTTAGTCCTAAAAGAATATATTTAGTTATACTAAGAATTATTTAGTTGCTTAGTGGTAATTTCTTCTCCAAGTAGAGCTAGAAATTTTGAATTTAAGTCATATAATATATGGGTGCGGTAAATTAAAGAATGAAAGGGGATTATCTCTTATTAAATAATTCAAAATCAAACAAAAAAAATTATTTTGTTTAGCTTATATAAAAAAATTTTATGTGTAGTTGGTGAGCAGCTGAGATTCATAGCCAGTGTGAACAACGTAAGCTTCCTCAATCCCAGCATTGATATATTACAAGCTTACTATTGTTGCATTCAAGGGGTGTATGGGACCAATCTTCCTGATTTTCCTCAATTTTTTTTTGACTTCACTGCCGATTATTTACCGACGGAGTGGGAGATTCCACAACTAGGGACAGAAGTGAGAGTACTAGATTACAATTCCACCGTGGAGCTTGTTTTCCAGGGGACAAACTTTATAAAAGGTACTGACCATGGGATTCATCTTCATGGACATAGTTTTTATGTTGTGGGATTGGGTTTACGGAATTTCGATAAGGACAAGGATCCCTTAACGTACAATCTGGTGGACCCTCCTCTTCAAAACACCATTCATGTTCCAAGAAATGGATGGATGGCAATAAGATTCAAGGCTAACAATCCTGGTACGTATAAGTTTTATCTTCAAAATAAAGTTTATTGAAACATGTAATACAAACTGTTAATTCATAGGTTTCTTTGGATGTGTGGTTCCTGCATTTTATGATTGTTTACTTTCTTCCATTTGTTTCGAGCGAGGAAGAAAAAAAAAAAAAAGCAAAACAGAAAATTGGTTTTATTGCTTGTTCAAGGGTTCTCCAACTCATTATGCACTTTCAATTAGTGCAAATGTTCGAACTTTAATTGTTTGTGTCACCCTCTAAAATCAAGAATTAAAGCATTTTGGACCGACATTTCAAAATTGTTATGGTTGTTATTATCATTGACTTCTTTTTTCTTCTTGAATAGGAGTATGGCACTTGCATTGCCATATTGATCGACACATGGTATGGGGCATGGGTACGGCGTTCATAGTTAAAGATGGTGAATCTCCAGAGGCCAAAATGTTACCACCACCACCTGACATGCCTCCATGTTAAGGCTATCTCAATTATATCCAGGGTTGCAAAGTCTTCGGATCAAGAAAGATATGTCCTCCCATAAACATATCTGGACAAAGAGAAGCACTGTAATCCTTGAAAGTATATTTTGCTAAATGGTTCCGTTTAGTAGGAGAATTCTATCATTTGCAAGCTTTTTTTTAGTTTTTTTATTTTTTCCAACAAATAAATATTTTCTATTATTTAGTTACAACGGGTACCTTAGCTCTTTACATCAAACTTTACATTCCCACAAATCTTCTCCAAATTTAAATTACAATTTCTCCTACGGCATAGATAAGAAATTGAATCCAATCACTTATAGTATATATGTTTAGTTTGAGAGGAATAGGGGAGAGGAGGGGAAGAAAAATAATTCTTTGTTTGGTTATAAAAAAGTTGAAAAAGAGGGGAGGGGAAAATTTTACTTTTCTTTATTTTATATAAGAATGATTTGAAATAACATGGTAGACATGACCAGCCAAAGTTCTACACCATTGACAGCAATCTTTGTTCCTAGTTTCTCCTTTCTAGGCGTGGAATTTCAGTTTTAACAGACAACAATTTGATTTAGCAATTGCATACATCTAAATAGCAATCTACAAAACCTCATTCTAATTAGATAAAATTAAGAAACCTTCGATCAAATTACTGCAACAAAAATCTTCACCATCCAAATTCAACAGTAAAGATAAACAAACTAACAACCAGTGCCGTGCGTACCTTCGATCGTCAGCCGCCCAAAACGCCGCATATCATTCAAAAACTCCTTCATTTTTGCGCGTCCTGGGGTGATGGATCCACATCGTCCCATCCATTGTCTGGACGCCGTTAGCGTCGCACGTCTCCACTATCTCGTCGAACTCAGCCACGTTTAAAGCGACTGGCTTTTCCATCAGGAGAGATGCTTTTTCTTCTCTGCCACGCGCATTGCCCAGCTCCAGTGGAGGCTAGTGGGGAGCGGCAGGTACACGGCGTCGATCTCAGGGTCGTCCAGCAAGGTTTCGTAGGAGCCATAGATCTTGATTTCAGGTGGGAATCCGTTGGCCCGCGAGAATTCAACTGCCTTCTCGAAGGAACGGCTGGCGACAGCAGACAGCTTGGCGTTTGATGCCAATAGAAGGGCTCGAGATACTTTCCAGACAGCCTAAGATGCCGATTTTGATTGAAGTTACTTTAGCCATTTTTCCGATGATAAGGTCTGT